TAAAATGTCTGGCCACTAGAATGTAACTCATGGGTCCTCAAACTAAGGCCCGCCATGCGCATTTAACTGGCCCGCCCCACAGGTTTTGCACCTGCTGGGTGCACAGGCAGGCGCGTGGCTTGCTCGTGAGGACGTTGTTTTGAACTAGCTTGAAGAAAACGATCTCATGAGCAAGCCGGCGCCTTGCTGTGCGTGCCCAGCGGCAGCTTGCTTGCAGGGATATCGTTTTGGACTCAATGGGAGAAATGATCTCCTCGCAAGCAAGCTGGCGCCTCACCCCACACGCACCCCTATTCCCACCTTGCCTTGCGTGCGCGCATATGCACACGAGCCCCCTCACCGGCCCGGCCCCCCTCCACCGGCACCACCTTGGCAGCCCGCGCCCACCGCTGGCACCTGTCAACTGGCCCCCTTCAGAAAGTTTGAGGACCCCTGATATAACTGATTGATACATTGCAAGTAACTTCTAAAATTGCACTAGTTTGCTCCAGCAATAGTTTCAGCAGTAAATTTTTTAATCTGGATAGGAATAATATACTCACTTCTGCATTGGCAGTAATCAGAAAATATATAAGCAAAAGATTACAGGGGTAGAGTGAACATTTACAGTTTGAGAAGGTAGGTATGACTTTCCTTAATAAACTTCATACATTAAGGAAAGACAATTAATAGAGCTGTATCAGTGTTCCCTCTTTCTTGTCCTGTAGTATTGCTATGCTTTCATTGCAATAGAGCTTAGATGATTTAATGCAAAAGTTGAAAGTGAACTTCTTTAATTTTGTGCTGACATGTAAGGCATTAGTGCCAAGATTTTCAGCTGAAACCTGTCTTATGACTCAGTGGCCTTTGCCTACAGCACAGTATACTGAGAAGAGCTCCTCTGATTTTTAAAATTGATTTAGATGAATCATTAAAACATAAAAATGTCTGTCTGGTATGTTGACCAACCACTTCAGAAATATTTGATTTAGTAACTTTTTCCATTTCCTAGGATATATTGTCCCTTCATTTCATTTTCACTTGGTTGAACTCAGCATTGTGGAATCAGATATGTTCCATTTGGCAGCTGTGAAACCCATTGCATAAACATTTAGCAAGTGGTGAAACATTATACTGTTAGTGCATGTGGGAATTAATTTTCAAAATCATATATTGTGTTACTACAACTTTTTACATTCACTCCATAGTCTAAGAAATAGTCATCTTTGTATGAGTGGGTTACTTTGATACCTTTTTCCAAAATAAAACTTTAGTTTAGCTAGTCATAACTCCTGAGCAGGTTTGGGATGGTGTGGGAGGGAAATCTGCTCTGATAGTAAGATGTCTTTTTGTCTCTGGATGGACACAATTGGATTTTACCCAATTCCTATCTTGTCACTGTTGACAATATATCCTTTCTCATAGCATTTGCACCAGTACCTATTTTGTGGGTGGACATGTTACACATTATTATTATTTTTATAGTATTATTTTATCAGAAATGTTACTCTGACTATGAATAACGACTTGGAAAAGTTGGCTTTTCTTTTTTGCTTTGAGACCAGATTTAGCAACTAGGGCTGGCTCAAACTAGTGCTGTTGACTGCTCCCACTCATTGCCCCAGTTTTCCACACCATATTTTATGTGTTTATTTATTAAGTATTAACTGATGTCAGGTTTTGTTATTTCTGTGTGTCACCTAGTCAGCTCTGATTTATGGCAATCCTATCTATGACAGCTACTCTAAATTCAGGGCTGTGGCTTGGTTTATGCAGTCAGTCTATCTCATATTTGGTCTTCTCTTCCTCCTCTTCTTCTGCCTTCAACATTCCCTAGTATGATCATATTCTCCAGTGGATCTTGCTTTCTTATGGTGTGTCCCAAACATGACAGCCTCAGTTTTGTCATTTTTGCTTCTAGGGAAAGTTCTGACTTCATCCACTTGGTCATCCTTCTGTCAGTCCAAAATTCTTCTCCAGTGCCATGTTTTGAATGCATCCATTTTCTCTCTGTCAACTTTCCTCATTGCCAGCTTTTTCACCCATGCATAGTTATTAGGAATACATACATTTGATGACCTTTTCCAGTTACTTCATTGCTGTGCTTTCAAGTCTCAGTCTTCTTTGAATTTCTTGGCTGAAGTCGCCATTTGAATTGATGATTGAGCCAAGATATGCAAAATCTTTCATAATTTCAATTCCTTCATTATTAATAGGAAAGTTATGTTAATTCATCTGTAGTCATGATTTTTGTTTCTTAACATTAAGCTGCAGTCCTACTTTTGCACTTTCTTCTTTCACTTTCATCAAGTGTATTTCAATTCATTGTTGCTTTCTGCCAGTATGGGTACAGTTATTTTTAGTTCTTCATGGTCTCTGTACATCACAGATATGGGCTCTGCACCTGTGCAGGGCTTGTTGCCGGGAGGATTTTCCTAGCTAAATTCATTCTGGCAGGAGCCCTGTCCTGTGTGTAAGGGGTGCTCCCGCCATTTTCCCCAGTTCTTTTCCAACCGCTGTTTTGGGTGCATTGCATCTTTCCTAACATTTCTACTATGTGTATTACAATTTTCCTTGCTATCTACTGATCTTTTCTCTTTCTCATTCCATTCACTTTGCTTTTCTTATTATCAGAAACCCAGCTTTTTCCCCTACTCTTGATCCCCCCACTAAAAAGAGGCTAAAATTTGAGCAAAAATATGGGAAAAGGATCTCTATACCAATTCTTGCAGTAAGGAAAGAACTGGGTTCCCATTTTGAGTGTTTTCTCATCTGCTGTGACTTTTTCCACATTCTGTTATGACTGAATAGGTACCTCCTGTATGGAACAATGGACAGGAAGATGCAATAGAGGAAAACTGTTGTCCCTTATCTTGGGCACTTTTGTTCAAAGTGCAGAGGAAAAGGATTATACTGCTTCCTTGAGGAATTTCCCCATAAGCTTGCAGTCTGCTGCACCAGACAACTGAGTTCACTGAACCATTTTGTTGCTTAACTGAATTCTCAGAATTGTAAATATTTAGAAATTGAAGTTGTGTGGAACACTGAAGAATGGATTTTTTAAATGTAGAAGTTAAGGGACATGTAATTTGAAATAGATGTATGCAAATATTATTCGCCTGTGTGGAGACCTCATAGTTTAGGTTTTTTGCCCACTAATGTGAGGACATGATTAAATTTCATTTAATAGGAAACTATTAGATTTCTGTTTTAATGCAAATGATGTATAACTTTTTCTATATCACAGAAAATTGGAACAACTCTCATCTTAATAGAATATGATAGAAAGGCAGTTGCAACACAATGTGTAGAAATACTCTGCATGGAGCAATTTAAAAATGATTTTTGTGTTAAAAATGCTGGTTATAGGCTTCTTTCTCTGCTTCTGTTAAGGTTGTGTTTGGAATATATGTGTTCGCTGTGTGTGAAACATGTTGGCTGTACTCTGTTACAAAAAACAGTCAACTGTAAGAAGCAGAACTGTACAGGTTCCTGGAATGTACATTATCACCTTATTATAATTATCCCCAATTACAAGGCTTTGGTTGTAAATAGCAAGGAAGTATTCAGAAATAAGATAGTGGTAAAATGGTTTTGTACCATTTAACTGCAGGCTGAGACAAGCAAAGAATGCAAGCTTTGTGAATAACAGGGACTTTTAAAAAAGTAGGCTGGGTCTTTAAGGACATCTTATACCATTGAAATGAGAAGGGTTCTGAACTGGCAAATATATATGTCCTTTATATAACTGCTTCCCTGTGTTACTTTTCCTACAGGGCTGTGATGACTGTGCCACAGTTGCATCAGTCTTTATTTTCCGTAAGCCCTGTCTACTTTAAGAGGGCTGTGTGTATGTATAGCCCCACAAAAATAAATGGTATGTCGAAGGATCTTGGCTGCAGCTCTGTGTTACCTTGTCTGTGTAGAATTCAAGAGTGTTACTGCCAAGTGAACCCTTTTCTCTTAGAGTAACTTTGATCTCTTCACTGAGGCAAACTCAGGAAGATGTCTCAAAAATTGCCCGAACATTTAGTAAAAGTAAGTACTGTGCTTCTGTCAGGATAGACAGAAGTAGATCTCCAGATGCTTTGAATATCAACTCCCTTAGGCCCCCGCCCTCATGCCATAGTCATCAGGAAATCTACCTTCTGCCCACCCTGACCTGTGTGAAAATGTGAACAAATCCTGAGATTTTCATGTTGATTATTGTGTCATTTTGGTCATGTTTGAAGGAAAAAAGCCCATAGAAAGTAGAAAGGATAAGTACTTCAGTCCTCAGTAGCTGGATACAAGCATGGTGCTTTCTCTGTTAATTCAGCTAGTGCTTTGTACCCACCAGAAATTTGACAGTCATGTCTTCTATATATTTGACAAATCTTTAGAACTGATTATACCATAATTAGGCATGTCTGAATCAACAAAACTCTAGCTTACCAGAGTTCTCCAAGTTTAATTTAGAAGCTTATTTCAGTTTGAATCCATATCAGAGTGAAAACTTTGTGGTTTTTTACATGAAAATCTGTGCATATTTCTATTTGTATTCTTCTAAATATTCACATTATTTGCATATGTCTCTTTGAAATAAATGCATTCTATTGATTAAAGCATGTTTGCCCATATTTTGCAAAAGCATACTTTTTATGCACATTTTCAAATGTGCACCTGCTGTTGATTACAATTCCTTTGATCTGTAAACAATTGTGAGCTCAGAAAAGTATGGACTTTGACTGCAGATTGTGCTTGAGTCCATGTTTGATTCAGAAGACATGAACTGGGTGAATCCTGATCGAAAATAAACTGAAACAATTTTTCATACACCCCTACGTCTGTCATCAGTCACTGCCCTTAATAGCACACAACACCACAACCTGTTGTATGCTTGGGCGGAAGAGGGGGTATTTGATTTATAACCTATGCTTTCATTTCATCAGGTATATTCTAGTTGTGGCATTTTACATAGAAGGTATAAACAATTGTTAACACAGGTTAAGATAGTCCTTAACCAATTTTATTTTTTCCAGGATTCCAAGCACAACTATGATAGAGGATAAAGGCCCAAGAGTGGTCGACTACTTTGTAGTGGCAGGACTCACTGATACATCAACACTTCTAGATCAAGAAGTAAATCGCTCTGAAACAAAGTCAGTTGGTCCAAAGGCTCCAATCACAGATCTTGCTATCATCATCAAATCGGCAGGTGAAACTGTTCCTGAGGGATACACTTGTGTAGAAGCAACCCCCACAGCACTTCAGGCCAACTTGAACTATGGTAGTCTTAAAAGTCCAGAGCTTTTTCTTTGCTACAAGAGGAGCAGGGACAAGCCGCCTCTTACTGATGTTGGGTGAGTGAGCTTTCTTTCACTTGGTCATGAGCAGCAGCATTGTGGTCAGAAGAAAAATTGTTTGTTGTTGATTTGTGGGATAACTTGTGGGAGTAAAAGAATGATATAAGCTGCTTTGAGTTCTTTGTAAGAAATAAGACAGGATATAAATCTAATAAATAACCTTTTTATCTTCACAATAGAACTTTGATAATCCACTCTATCCAGTATCACAGATTTGAAATAAAAGCTAGTGGCCGTTTTAGATTGCAGACAACTTGATCACTATCCACCAATTGGGCCTTTGGAGGGCCCAAGACAAATTTCCTTGTATATGAGATAAACCCTGCAATCCTAACACCCATGAAGCAATAAACAGACTTGTATGACATTGCCCTGTAAGTGAAAAGGGTCAAAGAGAAAAAAATTAGAGTGAATGCTGGTGTATAGCTCATGTATCACACAAAAGTAGTCCTAGGAACTCTTATTGCTTGGTGTTATGGGAAATACCTTACTCCGAGCAATATCCAGCTGTGTTATTCTTTTAGCACAAATGATGATACGCTAGTAGAAACTAGGTTTCAAGCAATGTGCAAGAGTGAATCCCACTAAAATTTGTTTCCACAAGCAGTTGTGCAACCTCTTGCACATTGTACTTGGTCTCATTTGTACAATGGAAGGATTTGGCAGAGTTTCCCTACAGGTAGTTCCTGGGTTACAAATGTCCAGGTTATGAACAACCTGTACTTATGTACCTGTGGACTGTCATAAACTCTATATGAATATTTCCAGCAAAAAGCCATGAATATCTCTAGGGAGTTAAGCAATGTGTTTGGCGACATGTCATCAGGTAGGTAGTTTTCTAGAGATATTCACAGCTCTTCTCCAGAGATAGATTTGCTAGAAATAGCCAAGGCTATCCCTAGGGAACTATGTGACATATCTCTGGGGAACTATGTGATGTGTTTGGCGATGCATCATCAGTGGCAGCCTAGTTCCCTAGAGATACAATATTCATGGCTTTTCATTCTGCAGTGTTGATTCAAGCATACTCAAGTCAGTGTGTTTTGGACACATGTAGAGTGCATAGTTCCCTTTTGGTTTTTCTTTAGCATTTGACCTTGTAACCAGGCCCTCTGCTGCTACAAGACCATTTATGGTGAGGAAAAAAAAAAAAAAACAGCTGTACAAACAACCCTTGATGCCTACTTGAAGAAAGTGACTCCAGGAGTAAACACCCCCACTCCAGCAGCACAATTAAATCCTGACTCTCCAGCGCCAGGTCCACCTCCATGATCATCAGTTAATGTTAGGTGTAATGTTACCTCAAGAACATTCCAAACTGTTTTAAGAACTGTTTCTTTTATTTGTTTTTTACAATACTGTATACCCATCCATACACACATACAGATTCTCTCTTTCTCTTTCTTCAGTATCTGTAATTACTTCATTATTACTGTATTATTATCGTTATTACAGTGCATATTGTGTTTTAGTGAATATGAAAGATGTTTTAGCGAATATGAAAGTGTTTCTTACGTGTTTTATATGCATAGAAAGAATGACATAAGGACATTCTCAGGAATGGAACTTGTCCATAACCCCAGGACTGCCCCTAGTGCTATTTGAATTTGCAGAATGACATGATTAGATACTACCCAGAAGTTAGATTATGCTTCCAAATATTATAAATGTATTTTAATGTATGAAGTTCCATGAAATCTTCCAATGAACACACTTTGTTAGTTTTGCGACAGTTGGGCCAAAAGAAAGCAATACCCACATGTTGAAGGATGATAGGAGATTATCATCTTTAATCCCCCCCCCGCCCCGCAATCAACAGTTCCTGTAATTTAAGATGATGATCTAGTTTGAGTGGCTGTGTAACAGCAAAGAATGGCTTGTATATATCAGCTTAAAAACTCTCTCACTGAGTTGAAAAGAATCTTGGGGGAGATTTACAGGAGGTCTGGACAGGGTTGTGTACTGCATATTTCTGATGGCAGCTAGCAGTGCTTCACAGAAACTGTGTGCTAGACTTGAGACTGTTGGGTCACCCTGGCATATTAGTGCTGATTGGTGTTTCCATGCTTGTTTCTGCTCAATAGTAGTTTTTACTATCCACCCAATGCCACTTAAGTGTTTTTCTCGGAATCTGGATTATTAAGGCAGTGGTTCTGCAGCAACAATTACAAATCCGTGTCTAGCATCCAGGAAATGTTGTGAGCGACCATTCTATCGCTGCAGACCTGGTTTTGCTAAGCCTAATGAAATTTTTATATGGTCCAAAAAGAACCTTCGTTCCAGGTTGTGGTGTTTTTGAATAACTATATCTTTTGTCTGGCACTGCAGTGCAAAAACTTTCAAAAACTCATTTGACATTACATCTAAATGAACTCTGGACAAACACATAAGTGTTACCAGACGGTCCTCATAGCAGTTGCCCTTTGGTATAAGGCCATGATATCTCAACTGTTCCTCTTATTGCAACTACATTTTTTTTAAATAATAGAGCAGTACTTTTGCCAAAGTGAATGCTACATTTAATGTAAGATAATTGGGACCACTCTTTTTAAAAACAATGGGGACCATTTTAATGGTGGTTAAAAATGTTTGTAACCATAATTCATAGCTGCAGCTCTCTGGGTGGTTACAAAATTGTAAACATTTAAAACACCCTTACTTGCAAGACAAAATCAACTTAAGACAACAAAACCACAGTAACAATTGCAATTGAACCAGCACAGAGGCATAAAAGTGCTACTGAATAAAATGCATGATTAAAAATGAAGTTTAAAAGTTATACTGATAAAATGCTGGTGGAATAAAAAGATCTTCACCTGGTACTGAAAATAATACAAAGCAGACACCAGGTACACCTCTTTAGGGAGCTCATTCCACAACCAGGGTGCCACAACTGAAAAGGCCCTCCTCTTGGGTACCACTCGCCTCACTTCCTTTGGAATGGGCTCCCAGAGCAGGTCACTCCTAAGGAAGACTTCATGGTCCAGGTAGGTGCATATGGGATGAGGGGATCCTTCAGATAACTTGGCCCCAAGCCATTCAGGACTTTGAATTGTTAATGTTACAACTTTGAATTGGTCCTGGACTTTATCTGGTAGCCAGTGCAGCTGGAGAGGACTGGTGAAATATGTACTCATGAGCCAGTCCTCATTAACAGACATTCTGCCCCGTTTTGGATCAGCTGAAATTTCCAGACCATTTTCAGAAGCAGCCTCATGTACAGCACATTGCAGTAATCCAAAGGAGAGGTTACTGGAGCGTTGGTAATTGTAGCTGGGCTCTCTCTGTCCAGATAGGTGTATAGTTGGTATATCAACTTACATTGATAAAAGGTGCTCTGTGCCACCAAATCTGTTTGAGCTTCAAGTGACAACTCTGGGTCCAGGAACATCCCAAACTATGAACCTTGTCCTTTGGAGAGGGCAACCCCATCCAGAACAGGTTGAATATCTTGCAGTTGGACATACCCAGCAACAGCACCTCTGTCATGTCCGGATTGACTCAGTTTGTTGGCCTTCATCCAATCTATGACCATGCTCAGACACTGATACTGTAAAGATGACAGAAGGAGAGGAGGGTTGATAAAAACTTTATACAAAGAGGGCATGCTGTCTGTATGTTGCTAAGAAAACTCATCTACACTTCCATGTTTAAATCTACCATCCTAGGTCTCCAGCATAAGTTTAGCCAAAAGTCTGTCATGCTTTAAGGAGAAATTATCAGGCAATTGGTAGTTCTCATGTTGAGGGTCATTAAAGGATGTTAATGAAAGGGGTGCAATTGTACAGTGAATTGCAAATAACGATATTATGTGAGCAAAATGTTCATGTGTCCATTATTCCCTCCTACTTGCAGAGTTTTATATGAAGGGAAGGAACGTCTAATGCCAGGCTGTGAGGTGATCCAGGCTACTCCCTACGGTCGCTGCGCTAATGTCAATAACAGTTCAGCCACTTCCCAGCGAATCTTTATCACCTATCGGAGGGCTCCTCCAGTACGACCCCAAAACTCCTTGGCTGTTACTGACATCTGTGTTATTGTCACCAGCAAGGGAGAAACCCCTCCTCATACTTTCTGCAAAGTTGATAAGAATTTAAATTGTGGCATGGTGAGAATTATATATTGTCTAAAACTTTGATCTTGAAAAAATAAGTATGTTGTGGTAGGCAAGGCAAACCCTTGGGGTTTGTTACTGCAGTTCAAAATGTTTTTAAAAGTGTCTCTTGCTCTCTCACCCAGTATACTTAACTCTGAATATAGTTTGCATCACTTTAGTTTCCATAGTTCTGTATTTTCCCTTCCTCCACTGCTGCTGCCAGAATCATACTCATAAGATAGCCAACTACTTTTTTAAAAGAACAGGGTGGGAGGGAGAAGCAGGCAATGAACTTTGGAAGGCTGCTGGTGTTACAATAAAACTGTGACCTCTAGAATTTTCATGAGTGAGTTACGTTAGGGTGAATTAATGTTTTAAAATCAGTTTTAAATGGAAGTAAAAACTGATTTACTGTTGGCACTCTTTCCTGTTCATTTTCTTCTGTGTGAAAAATAAGTCCATTGCAAAAATTACTAGCGACTTTTTAATAGAATACTGCAGTGTTTGTAATGATAAACATATAAGTGAAATCTCTTTTTGAAGAGGTTTTCCAAATAACACTACTGAAATTTAGGCATGGGCTTAATAACACCTGGTTTGGCCTATGACAAAGCAAGTTTCTAGATTTTTTTTGTCACAAGTATACAAATCAGTATCAGCCGTGAAAAACCTACATTGCCCTGAGTTTTGAATATATATGTATGTGTATGAATATGTACGTGATTAAAGGAGGCCATAGCTAGCATAAGAAGAAAGTATCAGCATGTATCTCTTCTATCCAAGTCACCTGTCATGTGGCTGGTAGCTTCACACATAGCTTCAAAATACAAAATCAGAACTGCATATTCAGCTATTTTGTAATGTCTCCAATATTTATATGGTTTACCTCGTATATAGCATCAAATGATTATTTGAAAGTGTCAGTGACCACATAATATAGAACTTCAATCAAATTGCCACACACACGCCTTTTCCCAATGGTATAAGTTTGATATTGAGAAATCAAGTGATTTATGTGCAGTTGTGACCCAAATCCTAACATGTTTATATGCCTTTAGGAATAGAGAGGTTCAGAAACACAAGGAATTCTTGTGTCACAATCAGTGCATGTTTTTCCAATTTAGATAATAACTTTATTTATTTACTTACTTACAGTGGGGTTCCAGTGTATACCTGTGTTATAAAAAGTCTGTTCCAGCTTCTAACTCAATTGCATATAAAGCTGGTAAGCTATTTTCATAAATTGCACATATATTACATTTGTTTAATATAAATTTATTTAATATCAATTTATTCATTCATGTATTTATAGGCCACCTATAACTGCTGAGGGATTCCTAGACGGCTTACAGTACATAAACATATTAAATCAAAATAAAACACATTAAAATCTATTAAAACACAATGAATTAAAACATCTATAAAAGCAATATAAATAGGACCACAGCATTCAGGGCTAAACATTAAAAAATTCCTAAAATTTAGCTATATTAAATGTGCTTGTTAAGTAAATGAGTGAGAATTTGAACCCAGATCTCTCTAAAACTCTATTTATGCATTTATTTCATTTCTGTACCTCCCCACAGTGGAAGCTCTCTCATTATACCACACTGGCTTTCAGTTCAATCAAAATGAACTTTTTGTGTCAGACTAGGCCATATTATGTAGTAGAAGCTTTTTAATGTATAGTGTCATGTAAGGGCAGTCAGGAATATCTGAGCAAGCTGTATTTATCAAGGAAAATGCATGATAACTCTTCCTCACAAAGTAGACAAACTGACAAGCTGGAGCAGGGTAGATGGTTGGGACTGCAGGCACAGAGTCCCGGTGATGTACTGAGGAATGCTGTCTGGGCATCTCACAGCATGTTAATGGTGGGTAAACAGAATGTACTGCAACACAGAATAATGTGTTTTATATGTTGGCAAATGTAGAAAAGGAATTCAGTAAACTGGGTCTTCTGGAAGGTTGTTGCATCAATACATAAAATGGATGGATACACTTGGAGTTCCAAATATGCCAAAGCAGGCTTTGGAAATGGTGCTGTTGGCAGAGAAAGTCTGCCCAATTTTCAGAGATTCACCTTTTACCTCTCAATGCCCTGCATCACAGCCATGTCATTCACAAGGGTCCTTCAATCCTTGGAGGAGCCTCTGGAGGATGAGAGGCGACTGAGGAGAGAAGAAGCCAGGGAAATCAGGTTCCATCAGCCCCACCCAGGTGTTGTTCTGGATCAAACCAAATGGGTTTTTAAATTGTTTTGCAATGTAGTATCATGTAAGCTTGGGTAGATTAATGGTACTATGCCATTATATTCTGTTTTTGATTAGGCAAAAGCATATTCTGTAACTTCCATAATCTGCAGCTTTCATTTTTCTTACATTAAAGGCTTAATATTCAGATATCCAGAAGATGATTATGAATCATTCCCCTTGTCCGAATCTGTACCTCTGTTCTGTCTTCCAATGGGAGCTACAATTGAATGCTGGGACCCTCAAACCAAATATCCACTACCTGTGTTCTCAACATTTGTTTTGACTGCTTCATCTGCGGAAAAGGTATATTTGAGTAGTGTAAATTTCTATTCTTTGCTCTCGTCACTTCTGATGGAATCAGTCCTTGAGTAACTTGTTTTCTTAATTAACATAATTTTAGGTAAAATGGAAAGCATTGCTGAAACTGAATTTTCAAACACTTGTAGTGGTATAATATAACCGCTTAGTCTTAAGAAGGTTAGCCATCATGGTCCCTCCTCTCTTGGTGATTGGCCCCCACCAACTACGGCTCAGATTGCTGTTGACAACTTGATGTGACATTCGACTACTGGTGGGGGTATGCAGTTGTGACCTGTTAGTGACATCCAACCTAATTGTTTCCATTCAGCATAACCCATCTGAATTGAGATGCTGTGTAGAAATAGCTTTAGCTGCAAGAGCTGACTGAGGTGTGATGTGGGATGGGTATCACCTATAGGCTGTAGGTTGTCTATCCCTGATTTGCTGAAATCTACCAGGCCAATGTTTGAAGCTTTCAAATTTTTAGAAAATATATGGGAAGGAATGGTTAGGAACAGGAAATGATTATAAGAAATTAAATTAGAGATGGATCGTACTGTTTCTAGTCTGTTATTATTTCTGTCCATAATGTTTTTTCTTCTGTGAGATAGAAACATCAGGGAACAAATTCTAATAAATATTAGGATATTTATTTTGGTCTGTATATTACTCTTCTAATATAAGCTAGACCATTCAGGAAAATAATGCAAGACTGAATTATCAACAAATCATCCAAAGTGGTTAGTAAGCTCACACATGATATTGGTTGGAAAGCCTTTATTATATGTGGTGTTCCTGAGTGGATTCTGTAGCACTGTAATTTTAAAAGTGTTTTGAAAGGCCTGAGGTCTAAATCTAAAACTAATCCTGTAGTGGTTTGTATGAGGAGGCAAGGAACTTTTCTCTCCCAATGTTTCTCTCCCACATCAGCTGTTCATGCACTACTGCCTCTAAATTCTCTTCAGAAAAGATGAAAAAGTATACTATAAATGAAGCTTAAAGAACCAGATACATCCCCTCTTTTTTCTCTCTGCTTGCTTGCTGTAATTATTTCTGTGGTTCTACCCCCATTCCACCTTTTCTCTGTTAACGTAGGTATATGGTGCTGCTATCCAGTTTTATGAGCCTTATTCACAAGAGCTGCTAACAGAAAGGCAGCATATGCAGCTGGGTCTCCTGACAGCTGTAGAGAGAAAAGTAGTTACTTCCAAATCCATAAATTCCAACAAATGCATCTGCCTTCTGTCACACTGGCCTTTCTTTGAAGCTTTCCGAAAATTCCTCATGTTCATCTATAAACTCTCAGTGTCTGGACCGCATCCACTTCCAATTGAAAAGTAAGTAAAAGGTTTTCCATGGTAGTTTCTTCTTTTCTTGGTTACGGTTCCAAAAGTGAATTCTTGTGAAGTGAATGTGTCCATTTTGGTTGCCTTACTGGTCAAGCATGGCACTTTTGTGTATTTACACATTGCCAAGTTATTACACATAGAAGAGGTATCTGGATTTTATCCTCAGTGTTGTGTTGTACATAAATAAGTGGCTGTTCCATCCCATTGTATGACCAACTCTCCTTCTTATAAGCTGTGATACTGCATTGTAAGCTACAGAGAAGCTGGATAGGGATCTAACTCAGTGGCTTCTGTAATATTTAAGGCATTCCAAACAAGCATGCATAGATGGTTATAAAGTCCAGTGTATGACTGGACTTTATAACCATCTATAATCTAACTACTTTAACATGCAAGAAGAACAGGTGTTAAAGAGAGAGTTTGACTAATTCATATTGTTAATGGTGATAAAAGCCCTGGAAGACCAAAAGTTGAGACCTTCTTTTGAGTCTTTGACCATTCCTTCCTGGACTACCCTCTTGCACTCCTTTTGAGAACCCCTGATCTAGAAACAGCATGGAAGAAAAACATTCATGTCATTAATTTCTTTTTGTTCCAGTTCATCAGGAGCTCAGTGATGCAGAATCCTAGGAGACACTAGCTTCAAACTCTCTCTCGCGTGCATGCACACACTGACACACACAAACACAGAGAAAATTTGAGACTGGATGTATAAATAGTAGTATGTTCTCCTGAGAAAACACTATGTTTGTATCAGTGTGCACTTAAGATCAAGATTAATGGTAGAATTTCTTTGTATGTTAGAAATTAGAAGCACATGAGTGAAGAAATCTTTGTTACTATTTTTTGTTAACAGGTATTTTAATGTATGAATGTTATCCAGATTAATGGAAGTTAAACTCCTTTATAACATCAAGCAGAAGAAAACATATTGTGCATTCATCCACAGGCTGCCAAGTTTGTCAGGCGCTGCTGCTGAATACACTGCTCCTTTTAAACAATGAACTTTCTTTTGTAATAATGGAAGAACTGAAATTGTGATGGGACAGAATCAACTTATTTATTTATTTATAACATTTTTATGCCGCACCCATCGCTGAAGCCTCCAACTTGTATAGGATTGTGCTATAAGAACTTCAGCATCTATCCCAAATTGTGTCTAACAGTACTTCCAGAAGATACTTCTGTCTCATCTCAATTGGAAAAGAGACGTATAGTGCAAAGCAGTAGATGAGAGAACCTAGCTAGAGGACCATGTCACTTTGAACCTAATGAGGCACAATCTAATATGCTTATTACTATCTTATGTCTGGTCTGTACTGCACATTGCAGGCTATTCCGACTTGCAGCAGTTTCCCAGTCTGACTGGTATAGCCCAGCTGCCTGTGATCCCCCCTTTAACCTGAGTCAGCACTCTGCATGCAAAACGTATGCACTGCCACTGAGCCATGACTATTCCCTAGAGCTCGGTGCAGTGAAAAGTCAAATAGTTTCAGTTTAGAATGAAAAATCAGCAGTGTGCAAATGAGGAGGGTTGCCTACATACGGTACAGATCATTTGTGCCTTTATTATCACTGCAGAAGGAGGGGAACTGTGTACCATAGTTTTTTTTTTCTGACTTATGCAGAGAATTGCCACTGAAATCTCTAGTTTCCATTTGTTAAAATTGTAGAATTTGATGATGATGGTGCATGATGATTTGAAACAAGCCAAATCTCCTGTTGTTCTTTGCCCTGAACCACAGGCAATAACTTTGGAAGAACTTTGTTAAACAATTAAACCATTGGGTTAGAAGGAACTGTAGTTTAAACCAGGTATTTATATCGCAAAGTGAATTCTATACTTGCAGGGGGCTTTACTTACAGTGTATATACTACAGTGTTCAGAAAGTATATGAGGATGCTGTCAAAAGTTAAAGTCAATAATAGCTTCACTAGAATGAACATTCCTTAACATACTTTTGAGCAATAATATTTTCAAGTTCAAACAAAGCTGTTGCAGGAAGCACAGACAACTTCAAAATAAGTATGAAATTTGTATTCTAAAGAATGGGAAAAGTTATTTTCCTGACATGGTAATTAGTGGCCATTTCTGAGCACGCAATTAATATTTAGATTCTGATTCTCTTGGTATAGTTGCAAACCTCCTTGGTCATTCCAGTTTACTGAAACATTTGCTATCAGTTTGATGGACGTTACACTGAAAGCATATTTGAACAAGAAGTTGGAAATTCCCTGTTGGCATGTCTGCATGTTGTATTTTCATTCAGGTTTTCTAATTAGCCATTCATATTCAGACTTAATATTAAGAGCCCTACTGTTAGGAAGTTTATAATTCCTTGTCATATGACAATTTAAAACTGTTGTTGAATTCTGTTGACAGTGGACATAGTGGGGAAAGAAAGAGTATATATTAAGTATTTTCCTTATTTGAAGGATAATAGAGAAAGGAATCAGCAAATTGCTCACTGTCAGCTAATTCTTAATTATTTCAGTTATAACAAAATGACTATGAAGATTATTTCAGATGAGGTCTTGAAAATCTCTGTGGTCCAACCAGTATCAGCCCATGTGCTTTCTATTAAATTGAGTACAATGTGCCTTATTTTCTTTCGGGAAGAGTTACCCAAATCTTGACAAGAAGTTACAGGTCCTGTATCACTTCACTCTTTCTTCTTCTGTCATCGATCAGTTCCTTGAATATATCCTGTTTCTGGGTTATATCCCTAGTATCCCTCAATATGATTTTTTTGGTACTATTTTTCTGAAAAATGCTAGCAATTCCTTTCCTGTTGCAATCTTAGGATAACTGAGGCATCATGGAAGATCTTGGAAAGCAAATTTGTTTCAGTCACTCATACCACTTGATTAATGTTTGTCTGGTTTGCAGCTAAGTTTGGAAGTCTGTTTCCCATAGGTATACCTGATGAATAGCATGTATAACTGTTGTTAGTTTTTTAAAACATTCTACTTTAACAGATATAAAATGAATATAAGTTCTCATGACCTAGAAGGGTCTAAGTGTCAGGACTTTTTGATCCAAGTATTTATACAAGTACCTAAATGAGACTTTTTAGTGAAAAAGCAAGTAAGTGACTTTTCATGTAAATGTTTTTTCTTAGAACATTTTCTTAAAAATCAGTTATTAAAAGTTAGCTAGTACATGCAGTTTTTTACAGTAGGGTTAAAAAATGAAATTCCTGTTCTTTTTAAAGCTAGTGATATAGTGAGTACACTTTAAATACCAAATTGTTGATTTTGCTATAACAAATTATTAAATTTTCTTTGCAGGCACATATCCCACTTTATGCATAACATACCCTTCCCTTCTCCTCAGAGACCAAGAATCCTTGTGCAGGTAAGTGAAATGTTTGATTCAGCTTAACACCACTATCCTTTTTCCTCTGTTAATGCTTATTGCTATCTTCTGTGTAACTTGCTGATTATGTCTGCTCCATGTTCTTTTAATTCTACTACATTTTTAAACATTTGATGCATCCTGAAGATGTTTCTACCATTTCACTTCCCATTGTGGTGAGCATTAAATGTACAGTACCCAGTCTCTTTTTTTCCCCATATCAGAGTGAAGTAGTCTAACAAACACTTGGGTGCACTAATGTAATGTAGTGACTAACACTGCAATTACAACCATGCCTGCTCTGAGTAGCTCATTGTTTTCAATAGCACTTACTCCCAAGTAAGTATATATAGGAATGCAGCCTTAGATCGAATCATGTGTATACTTGCTCACTGGTCTTGGTTGAGCTACTGTCATCACCTCTTCCAGTATGGAGACACTAATGCTGATCTACCTTATAGGACTGTTGTAGGGATTGTTAATCTGATGAACTTTGAACACTGTAGTGTGTGCTACAGTAACGCTGTATTACTGCTATGCTGGTGGGGCTTGCATAGCCAGTGTACTACATGACACATACTGCACTGCCTAACAGTTATAATACATGTTTAATTAGAACGTTTAAATAAGTATTCTGCAAATTGTCACATCACTAATATTTGTCTTTTGCCATTTTGCAGCTTTCTGCACATGATGCATTAATACTGTCTCAACCAGTTTCCACACCCTTGCCGCTCAGGTATCAATATCTGCAATAATATCTGCAATACTTAAAAGATGATTTGTGGACAAGCTGTGCACACACTGTTTCTTCAAGTTACTGAATATTAATGAATGAGTAATATTTTGCGCATGTAGTTGATAAAATATTAAACATTTAGTTCTTACGTATCCTAGTCACAGCTGGTGCAAATAAAAGTAGTGTACCATTCTCTCTGTGTGTAAAATTGTAGTAATTCGTTGAAATAAAAGAGAATTGGTTCCATCATTACAATGATACCTTTCTGGTTGAGGATATTGCTTTCCAATATATCCAGTGGGGGTGGAGGGGATGTAAAAACTAACTGTCAATTCAGTAATCAAAGCACAAGTAATTCTGCACAGGTCAACAACAATTTTGCCAACTTGATGGGCCTTAAATATGTAAAATAGTTAAAGATCTGATCAGTTGTCAGTAACTGGGAAGTCTGACCCAGCATTCTCAATGGCATTTAGGGATGCAAGTGCTAATGCCAGGAATTCTCTCTTTTTTATTCCTCTGTTACTGAAATAGTGTATTTGAAACATCTAGGGGAAATTTACAATGCACTTCAGTAAATAAATAGTATTCTAACAACTAGTTAATACTCTGGAGTTATACCAGGTCTTTCTGAGTTCTTGTATACTTACATATTCTGTGGGTAACCACTGTGTATGTAATGTGCTGATGTACGATGTGATAATAGCTATCTAATTTCCTATATGCACTTCATGAGTCACTGGGCAGGTTACTGACAACCTAAAGGATAAAATCCTATTACATTTATGACAAACGTTTGCATTGACAGGGTGCAGTAGGGATTTTTGGGCTGAGGAGTGGGTGAAATTGCTCTGGACAGTTCTGTTTGCTTTCTTGGATAGGATTCAACACTGGCTGCTGCAGCATAACCAGAGCCTTGCTCTGCAACTGCTACACACAGGATAGGATGGGTTTCTGATGTGGCTGCCCAGCAAGGTGTTAGTTGCTGTAATTATGAATAATGATGATATAGCAGTTCTGAGCCTTTTGCTCTTATTCTAGTGGTGCAAACTTCAGCACTCTGTTAATGAATCTTGGACCTGAAAACTGTGCTACTTTACTCCTGTTTGTGTTGCTGGAAGGCAAGATTCTGCTACATTCTCTCCGTCCAGCTGTGCTGACTGGAGTAGCTGAAGCTGTGGCAGCTGTAAGTATATCGCGTTCCCTTATAAGTTAAACCAGTTATATAGATTCCATAGTGCCCTTTTAATTTTAGTTGCCAGCAGTACTGTTTCTGAAAGGAAAATACTATTTCGGTTTAGATGCAAAATATGGATGAGAAAAAGTTATATACCTTTGTAAGTACTGTGAATTATCACTGAAATTTGCGGTTTCTGAAAATAATGTAGCATTGACCTTCTAGTAAAATGGAAGAACTTGGAATACTGGAAGACTGCTTCCCTGAAGGAGAGATCACTTTGCTTGTCCAGTGGTTTTGTAAAGGGCTAGCTTAAGTGAATTCACAGGCTGTTAATAAATTATTGAAAGAAAGAAATACCTAGTTTGGTTTGGGTTGGTGGGGAATGGGAATATTGCATGTCCATACCATGGCTTTAAGCTTAGATTGGTAGAATATTGTTACATTTTGCAAATATTGTCTGTTAAATGCAAATTTTAAAAACAACACATTTGCATGATATATTTTTTAATCAGTTGGTGAAATCCAACATCACACAGAATTCTGCTTGCACTATGGGATTCTTCCCTTTCTTCCTCCAGCAGCAGATTTTGAGAGTGCAGTGTAAGATGCAGCAAAGGAGGGGAATCGCTTCCTTCCTGCTGTACTGACAGATGCCATCCTGTCCTATGATGACACTAACTGGATACAACCCTATTTATCACAGTTGTCTTTGTATTGAACTGTTACAGTTCATTCATATACACTTAATACCTTGGGATTTCCACATTCTTTCTCCCATACTCTAGTACAGCTATAAGGGGAAAATATAACTGTTTCTTATCAATGTAGTTAAGTAAGCATTTAATAATAGGTTTGAAGTCACATTTTGTTCATATTATATTCTAAGCAAAGTTAATGATGTACCCCTCTGCTATTTCATTGCTTGTCAAAACACATGTTGTTCTTTTTATATATTGCATATTTCAAAAAGATTGTGCATTAAGCCTTTGAAAGGACCCTGCTACTGTTGTGTAGCACTAATAATTCAGGCAGTTTTAAATAAAACATTTTCGTGATATTTCCTTTCACCTTCGTTTTTTCACTAGTCCAATGAAGCGTGTGCTAGTCAAGCTTTTTTATTTCCTTCCTTCACATTGAAGTAAATGCTTACCAGAAGACCATGTAATTCATGAAGGATTCACAATTTAATTCCTCCTGGGCTGGCTAAAATCTATGACTTGATTCTAAAAGTGCATGCTGCCCAGGGTTGATATTTGTTAACTGTTCCCTTTCTTTCACCCACCCGCAATTGTCTCTGCTATAGACAGTGTTTCCAAACCATGGCCATGCTGATAGTCCTAATACTGTTCAAACAAAAAAAAAAAAATCAGGGTTTGCTGCTATTGTATGTAATGTTCCACATTCATGAGCAGTACTTGATGTTCTCGTTTGTGTTGTCTTTTTAATACATGGATTTCATTTCATTTTTCCTTCAGATGATCTTTCCATTTCAGTGGCAGTGCCCCTACATCCCCCTCTGTCCTTTGTCTCTGGCAACAGTGCTCAGTGCTCCTGTCCCATTTATAGTTGGAGTTGACTCACGGTACTTTGATCTGTATGACCCGCCACAGGATGTTGTTTGCATTGATTTAGACACAAACATGGTGTACATGTAAGTCTGTTTTTTAGTTTTGTTTCTATCCTTTGTCTTTATGTGTGTCTGTTTCAAGGTATTAATGTAAATTTTGAATGTGTTCATTTAATGTATTTCATTCAAACCCCAAAACTTATAATAGAGCAAAAGCCCATTAGGCTTATGTAGGCATTTCCACTTGTACATGGAGCTGCCCTGTACTTTATGTTTTGTTCTTGGTTTTTTCCCCCCATTGACTATAGTTCCCTGAACCAATACTAAAGTTTAGAGAACAACTTGTTGGATAGAACGGCCTTGTAAAGCGGAAATGGAATAAAAGTAGGAAATGTAGCAGTGAAGCTTTATAGGAAGAAACCCCTTGAAACTCAGACAACATTCCAGTCCATACTCAGAGGCTGATTAGCCACAGGGTTCTTGTGACTTGTTCTGAACACAGATGCACTAAGAAGCCATGGGTTATTAACCACAAACAAATCAGCAGTAAACCGTGGGTTTTCTTCATGGTTTGTTAGCATGGCTGGGTTCAGACAATGCTGCAATCCACACTACTCTATCCATATTCAGTGCTTGAATATGGATTACTATGTTGCATGAACTTAGTTACTGAAAACATGTCCTACTATTAATTATTGTACTAAAATATTCTCTATTATGTCCTTGTTTCCTTTATTGTTGTTCCCACATATACACTTAGCAGGATATGGACTAGCTTCTTCTGTATGATGTAAAGCAGTCATGGAAAACCTGTGGTCCTTCAAATGTTGGTGCACGACAATTTGCATCCCATCCAACCATTGACTGTATTTGCTGGGGCTGATGGGAGTTGAAGGCCAAAAACATGACACCTACAAATGTCCTACTTCTTAAGGAAATTATCTATTTTCCTATCAGTCAAAAATTCTGAAACTGATTAATTTTGAAGGAAAACATTGAAATCTATTTCTGGAAAATATTATGTACGTCAGTGTTTGTATCCAAAGATGTACAAAGGGAACTCAGCTCACATAATGAGGTTTTTGTCTCCTTGTCACCACAGACTCTCCAGAACATTGTGGGGTTGATGTGAGAATGTGTAGCACAAGAGGCATAAATTGGTAACATCAGCAGGAGAGCAGTAGAAATTGGCACCATCAAACACCTATTCTAGCTTTTATACAGTATTGGCGCTTACATTACTGGAAATAAATATCAATAAATTCGATATTTATCAAGTCAATAAACATTTGTTGAATAACTTCATATGATTAAGTGAAAATAAAGAGGGAACTCGCTTTAATAAACAAATTAGCTTAATTTAAGCAGAAATTTGTTCTACTATTTTAGAAAAATTGACATTCTTTTACACGTTCTAGAAGATTGCTACTGATGGGAAAAGGGGCTGTTCCCTTGTTAACACTGCACCTCCCATTTTGATGGGACCCAGAAAGGAGCCAAATGCTGGTGTCTGATGCTTGTTGCTGTGCTGTGCGCACCAGGACATTTTGTATTTGTTTAAATCTATAAAAGTGGTAGCCACACATGAATAGGGAGATTCCAGGTTCAGATAATGTAGAATTGAATGGTAAGCCCTTTTGGCATTGAAGGCAGAGGGGATTGGGCCATTGCATGAGCTAGAAGCCTGCTTCCCTTCTCATCCCTCATATACTTTCTTGAGGAGAAAATAAAAGGTATGTAGAACTAAGGATTAGAAGCATTCCCATTTTTAGCATCCTTCTTTCCCTTTGAATTTTTAAGTGCTGCCATTTTCCCCTTCTGCTTGCCCTTATACAATTCAAAACTTCAGCCTGGAATCATGAAATTACTTTTATTTCATATTTGAATAGTGTCATTAAAAATTTTAGCCACCCTGTAAGCAAGAGATCTTGGAATGAAAAAGTAGTCTTTTCCCGTATGAGGATTTTAGATCTATCAGGAGCCTGCATAAAAAGACAAACAACAAAGTTTTGTCTGATTTCATTAAAAAGAGAACGTCCCATTGTTGGCCCATCTTTTAAAAACATTTTATTGTTTAATTGCATTTCCACAGCTGGCATTAGCTTTCCGTGTGTGTGTGTGTGTGTGTGTGTGTGTGTGGTGGGGGGGTAATTTCCTTTCTTTGGGTCAAGATTTCACATGAGGACAGGAGAAAGGTGCCTGTGGAGCAAGGGGGAGAAAATTAGAAAAAAGATCATGGTAAAGCTACAAATGCCAAACTGATGTTGTACCAGAAAATATTTCATTTGGTTGCCATCACTTTGTGGAAGAATTCACAAAAATTCTAATCCATGCTTAGAAATTAAGCTAAATAGTAATGTTTTTTAATGTACAAACATAATTTTACTGTAAACAAACACTGTAATGTTTTATAGGATTGTGCATGCATGCTACTTAGCACATCAATGAATATTAGTGAGCTGCCCTTTTCAAAAAAAGATTGTTGGTTTCCTATAATTAGAGAGGACTACTTCTCTGAGGCTAGGACCCACTGTACTTCCTTCTGCAAGGTTGGGCAGAACAGCATGCCTGCTCTGGTTTCTTAACTTGGTACTAGGTGCTTTTCCACAGCAATTAATGGCCATTTTCTGTTTGTAGGGATGTGCAGTGTGGGGAATTCCATTTCATTTAAGCTCAGTGGAATTCTGCAATGCTTCACCACACTGAAGAGAAGAGCATCAGGCTTTTATTTTTAATTTGGGAAGATTTTGCACATTTTATTCTCCATGTTGTACCATTTGAACAAATTGTAATTTGTGTAAATTTTGTGTTTGTTGGTTTGTTTTTGCATACCTGCTCACTTCACAAAGGTTCAAATTGAAAACCTTGCCTGGACAGTGCTGTCAAAGTGCAGTACCAACCATAGATATGGACCAAGAAAAGCTCGTAGTGACTTAATTACTATATTTCTGTAATCTTCACAACTCTGTAGGATTAGTATAATCTCAATTTTTTAGATAGGTGGGATGGAAACTAATAGATTCAGAGAGGTGACATTTCACTTCATTCTCTCTGCAATTGTGCTCCTCTCATTCTCAAGTCATGGTTTTTTCATATATTCTCTGTAAGGAATTCCAATTTAGGAGAGCTATGGGTGTTTTTATGCCACTGTGGGGTCAAGTGTACATCTGTGCATGTCCAGTATAAAAACTAACATGGTTTGTGTGAACCTCATCACCTAGAGCTATGATTATGAATAGTGTACATCACCATATCTACAGCAGGGACTGGGTCTTGGACATGAAGCTCACTCAGCTGATCCAGTCACAGACTGTCAGCTTGGCCTACCTCAGTGGTGTGAGGATAACAAGAGAGGGAGAGGGTCATATATGAAGGGCTGAGTTCCTTGAAGGAAAAGTGGGATATAAACATGAAATTATAGATGCGTATGATATCTTGGTACTTAGTAGAGGTTGTGGTCTAATGCAAGCCTATCACCTTTTGAGTAACTTCTGCATATAATGTGCCCAAAGTGCTCTTGGGTTAAGGAGGAGGAAAACTTGTTACGGCTGAGCAAGCCTTCTGTGTTTAGTGCCAGTGGCTATATTACAGCATTACGGTTGGAAGCGCTACTGATTGCTAGAAAAATGCTGAATAGCTCTCAGTCACTAAACATCCTCTAGTTGTTTTCAGAGGCTATTAGCAGAAGTGGCAATGAGAAACTGTTAGTCCGTGGATCTGACGGGGATGAAAGATCCATTTTTATTACTAGATATAATTTTTGATCATTTGTCAAGAGGAGTGTTGTTTATGTTAGATGTGGCATTGTCCTTCTGAGCGTCTGGGTTAGGGAAAAGCAGAAGTTCTTAGCAGGCTTGGACATGTTTTTGTTATAGTTCTTTCTCCCTCTTCTTTCTCCCTCCACTTCCAAATTTTACTTGATTCATTTACTTTTTGTATTTGCAAAATAGCAGTGGTACATATGCCTTAGAATTTGTAGTCATTAAATTCTCTGAGATTATTTTAATAAGAGATAATTCATAGATAACAACATAGCCTATAAATACTAATGTTCTAAATACTAAATATTAGTCAGTAGCATTCAGTGGAGAGGGTTTTTGAAAACCATATAATGCTATGCTGATTATTTTTAAAAAATATATACCAAAAATCTCTGATAACAGTATCAGAGCACATATACTATGCAATAAAATAAGGTAGACAGTGACTAAATAGGTAAACATTTTGAAAATGCTAGAAGCAGATAATGCATTCGTTGCTGAATAATTCCTGTACCTTCCCTCCTACCACTGCTTCCCTTCTGAGTTGATAAGAAGAAAGGCTTGTCCTTAAAATTAGCAAGGCTCTAGTTTACCTCTATTTGTTTCTATTTGAGAGACAAATTGTAGCTGCTGCCTTTCTAAACCAGGACGTGCCTCATGTTAAGTTCATTTTAAATCCATTGCCAAGTTAGCTACATTCATTACCCTACCATTCCTTGCTGAAATCTGGAATTTTGTGTGGAAATGTAGCTTAAATTGCCTCTGACTGGCTGTGTAGGAAACTTGGTACTTGATGAAACTGATCCATTTAAAAGTTTTTCTCTCATTTCAAATATACATTTCCTTGAAAAAAAACTCAGATTTTGAATGAGTCAGGCACTACATCAAAATACATCTGTACATACATCAGAATATACCTTTACTTATTTAGCAATTGTAAATCTTGATCATAAATAAACAATTTCCTAATTTTATTTTTAATGTGATTTTATTCTGTTTCAAAACACTGCATTCTTAATCACTGCAAAATTTACTCTCATTGCCAAGAAAAGTACATCATGTTGGGTGTATTTTGCCAATCAAGTGCTAACTGATAACTCAGTTCAGCTTAATTTATGGCTGTACAGCTTGAGAAGATGAATAAAAGTACAAAGAAAATGATCAAGAGGGCAGGAGTAACTCTTCTTTGAGGTTATATTTGGGTTCTTTAGCTTGGGAAAAAAGTGAATAAGGGCACATGAGAGGGGTATTTAATGTTGTTCTTGGTGTGAAGTATGTTAAGCTTTTCTCTCTCTTTCATAATATTACAAGAAAAAGCTAAACAGTGAGAAATGCAGGAAGTACTGGAATGTGAAGTCAAGTGGGCCTTAGGAAGTCTTAACAACAACAAAGCTAGTGGAGGAGACAGTATTCCAACTGAGCTATTCAAAATCCTTAAAGACGATGCAGTTAAAGTGCAACAGTCATTATGCCAGCAAATTTGGAAAACTCAGCAGTGGCCACAGGATTGGAAAAGGTCAGTTTACATTCCAATCCCAAAGAACGGCAATGCCCAAGAATGTTTGAACTACCGCACCATTGCACTCATTTCACATGCTAGCAAAGTGATGCTCAAATCCTACAAGCTAGGCTCCAGCAGTATACGGACTGAGAACTACCAGAAGTACAGGCAGGGTTTCGAAGAGGCAGAGGAACTAGAAATCAAATTGCCAACATACACTGGATCATGGAGAAAGCTAGGGAGTTCCAGAAAAACATCTACTTCTGCTTCATTGACTATGCCAAAGCCTTTTATTGTGTGGATCGCAACAAATCGTGGCAAGTTCTTAAAGAGATGGGAATACTGATTGGTTCAAAATTGGGAAAGGAGTATGGCAAAGCTGTATATTGTTGCCTTGCCTATTTAATTTATATGCAGAACACATCATGAGAAAGGTGGGGCTAGATGAATCACAAGTTGGAATTAAGATTCCCAGGAGAAATATCAACAACCTCAGATATGCAGATGATACCACTCTCATGGCAGAAAGTGAAGAGGAACTGAAGAGCCTCTTGATGCGAGTGAAGGAGGAGAGTGCAAAAGTTGGCTTGAAACTCAGCATCAAGAAAACTAAGATCATGGCATCCAGTCCTCTCACTTCCTGGCAAATAGATGGGGAAGAAATGGAGGTAGTGACAGATTTTATTTTCCTGGGCTCCAAGATCACCGCAGATGGGGACTGCAGCCAAGAAATTAAAAGATGCTTGCTCCTTGGGAGGAAGGCAATGGCAAATCTAGACAGCATACTAAAAAGCAGAGACATCACTCTGCTGACAAAAGTTCATATGGTCAAGGTTATGGTTTTCCCAGTTGCAATGTATGGCTGTGGAAGTTGGACCATAAGGAAGGCTAAGCATGAAGAATTGAGACCTTTGAATTGTGGTGCTGGAGGAGACTCCCCTGATCCCTTGGACCGCAAGGTGATCAAACCAGTCAGTCCTGAGGAGATCAACCCTGACTGCTCTTTAGAAGGCCAGATACTGAAGATGAAGCTCAAATACTTTGGCCACCTAATGGGAAGGAAGGACTCCCTGGAGAAGAGCCTAATGCTGGGAACAATAGATGGCAAAAGAAGAAGGGGGCAGCAGAGGATGCGGTCACTGAAGCAGTTGGTGTGAGCTTAGGCAGACTCCGGGGATGGTGGAGGACAGGAGATCATGGAGAAATGTTGTCCATGGGGTCGCGATGGGTCAGATGCGACTTTGCTAAACAACTACTACTGCTGCTGCTGCTACTTCACACACTGCACAGTTAAACACCTGCTATCATAAGAGGTACCATAAGAGGCCACCAACATGGACAATTCTAAAGGGGATTAGCTAATTTATGGAACATAAGACTGTCTATGGCTACTAATATGTGTCTGAAAACCATTTGCTGGAGAATATCAATGGCAGGGTGGTCTTTCCCTCATGTTGGCTTCATATGGGTTGTGGGAGAATGGCTGAAAGAGGTATGTCTTCCATTTGATTCAGCACGTCTTTTCTTATGATCTTATGTGTTACCCATGAGCCATACTCAGAGCCAGGATGATAGTTAAACTTGCAGTTTTCCCAAGAGTAGACCTCAGGCTTCATTTTAAAGAACACATCTTGTTTTTTGAGGAGAGAATGGCTGCAGAGAAATTGGGACATGGTGCATGGCGCCTGTGAATGCACATCTGTCCCACAAACACATTTTCCTTCTGTAGATCCTGGCCATAACCTTGCATAGAGAGATTTCCCAGATTCTGTTTCTGTTCCCAGATTTGCACAAAAGATAAATGTTTTGTGTGAAGAGATACCATGCTGGTTGATTTGGCCCATGCTACGTTAAATTGTGTTGAGTCTTCACACTACTTCTCTCCAGCATAGAGAATAAAACATGTCCTTTAATGTCTGGGTGGCAATGTGTTCCCAATATGCAAACCCCTGATGAAAACTGGTATCCTGAAGTACATAATTCTTGATTTTGTAATTAATTCCTGTGTGCATGAAATACTGTATAGATGCATAGCTCTATTGTTTGCTAAGTTTTTAAGGCACGGAACTTACTTTGTATCTGGAAATGTGTAATATTTGAATATGTTTGCATATATAAAATTATCTTATATTAAAACTCATATTAATTCAATAAAAGTGTGGTATTTGCATTACGATGCAGTGAATTTGTTTGTAACAAAGGGAAAAAACACCTCAGTAAAGATATATTTTATTTTTAAAGGGCAGACATTGAAATATGGGGTCAAGCCTCTCACTGGTGGGATAATGCCTGAATTAAATTTAAAGAAAAATTTCTGTATATTTTGTGATTAGATCCAAATTCAACTGAGAGAGCTGTGTTGCTTTCCAATAATTGCTACCACAAGTTCCCACTTTGAAAAAATAAAAAACGTATTGGAGGTAGACTGGAAGCTTTTGAATTCCCTTTCTTGCTTTAAGGTATTAGGAAGTCCTAGCATGAAGCTGTACATTTCCTGCCTTTAAATATTTCTCAGCTTTAACTTGCGTTTGTCTCTATTGTATAGATCAGATGATAAGAAGAGCATGAACTGGAAGCAACTTCCTAAGAAGCCATGCAAAAGTCTTCTTGGCACCTTAAAGAAACTGCACCCACAGCTGGCATTAGGTAAAATATTGGAAAGGGCAAAAGAAGGTCATCTCAACAAAGAAGGAAATTATAGTGGTGGGAAGACTTTGAAAGTTGAACTGTTTGTTTCCCTACAACTTAATATAAAAGACAGTCTACAAAATATTGCTTATTATACAGCAGCAGATTTAAAAAAAACCCACTAAGAGTGCCAGTGCTTTAATGTCTCAATACATTTTCTTCCTTTCTCTGCTGTCCTATCTCTTCAGTATAAAACATGGTTTCCATCAGCAGAATGGGGATGCACTTCTGCCTTCCTTGCAAACACTACACATCTCCAATATTTGCTCTGGAAAGTTGAAGAATCTTCTGGAGTAGACTTTTGGGTCACATGGGGGAGCAAATGGGAGAGAAGAGGAAATGCAGGATCTGTTGTATGTGAGAAGTCTACTTGCATGATGTTGGTTTTGTCCCGCATTAGTATCAATCTGACTCTTGACAGAAATGAGTACCAAGGACTGAAGTTTAAAATAAAGGAAGTGAACCTATCTGCATAGGACTAAAGTATTGTTAATTTCAATACTTTAGTCCACCCAATTCATTGTTATAGTTTTCATTCTGCCCTTTCTCCAAGAAGCATTTTGACATTGACATTTTATCCTTTTAATAACCCTGTGAGGTAGATGACATTAAAAAAAAATACACTACTACTGCTTCCATGTCTTCACTGCAAAGTCTGTAGGAAAACCTGATATTGTTTAAGTTCTTTGCTTACTTGTTATCAAGAGCTATGGCCTCTATGGCCTCATTCACACAGAGTGACGGCCGGTGGTTTCTTTAAATTGCAGATTGTCATGCTTGAGGCAGCATGCTTGCAGGAGGAGCTGCTAAACATCCGATGGTCCCTTGGTTGTTTGCTGTGATGTATGAACCAGGAACCAGAAGTTCTCTCTTCCCAAACAATCCAGAGAAAGTTGTTGTTGTTGTTAGTCGCAAAGTCGTGTCCGACCCATCGTGACCACATGGACAACACTCCTCCAGGCCTTCCTGTCCTCCACCATCTCCCAGACTCCACCTAAGCTCACACCAACTGCCTCAGTGACTCCATCTAGCCACCTCATCCTCTGCCATCCCCTTCTTCTTTTGCTATCTATTGTTCCCAGCATTAGGCTCTTCTCCAGGGAGTCCTTCCTTCTCATTAGGTGGCCAAAGTATTTGAGTTTCATCTTCACTATCTGGCCTTCTAAAGAGCAGTCAGGGTTGATCTCCTCTAGGACTGACTGGTTTGATCGCCTTGCGGTCCAGGGGACTCGCAGGAGTCTTCTCCAGCACCACAATTCAAAGGCCTCATTCCTTTGGCGCTCAGCCTTCCTTATGGTCCAGCTTTCACAGCCATACATTGCAACTGGGAAAACCATGGCCTTGACTATACGCACTTTTGTTGGCAGGGTGATGTCTCTGCTTTTTAGTAAGCTGTCTAGATTTGCCATAGCTTTCCTCCCCAAGAGCAAGCATCTTTTAATTTCTTGGCTGCAGTCCCCATCTGCGGTGATCTTGGAGCCCAGGAAAATAAAATCTGTCACTACCTCCATTTCTTCCCCATCTATTCGCCAGGAAGTGAGAGGACCAGATGCCATGATCTTAGTTTTCTTAATGTTGAGTTTCAGGCCAACTTTTGCGCTCTCCTCCATCACCCACATCAAGAGGCTCTTTAGTTCCTCTTCACTTTCTGCCATGAGAGTGGTATCATATGCATACCTGAGGTTGTTGATATTCTCCCAGCAATCTTAATTCCAACTTGTGATTCATCTAGCTCCGCTTTTCTCATGATGTGCTCTGCATATAAGTTAAATAGACAGGGCGACAGTATACAGGTTTGCCAAACTCCTTTCTCAATTTTGAACCAGTCAGTGGTTCCGTGTCCAGTTCTCACTGTTGCTTCTTGTCCCGCATATAGGTTTCTCAAGAGACAAATAAGATGGCCTGGTACTCCCATCTCTTTAAGAACTTGCCACAATTTGTTGTGATCCACACAATCAAAGGCTTTAGCATAGTCAATGAAGCAGATGTTTTTCTGGAACTCCCTAGCTTTCTCCATGATCCAGCATATGTTGGCAATTTGATCTCTAGTTCCTCTCCCTCTTCGAAATCCTGCCTGTACTTCTGGTAGTTCTCGGTCCACATACTGTTGGAGCCTAGCTTGTAGGATTTTGAGCATCACTTTGCTAGCATGTGAAATGAGTGCAATGGTGCGGTAGGTTAAAAATTCTTTGGCATTGCCTTTCTTTGGGATTGGAATGTAAACTGACCTTTTCCAATCCTGTGGCCATTGTTGAGTGTTCCAAATTTGCTGGCATATTGAGTGTAGCACTTTTCTGGCATCATCTTTTAGGATTTTGAATAGCTCAGCTGGAATACTGTCGCCTCCACTAGCTTTGTTGTTGCTCAGACTTCCTAAGGCCCGTTTGACTTCACATTCCAGGATGTCTGGCTCACGGTCAGTGACCACCCCATCGTGGTTATCAGGGATGTTAAGCTCTTTCTTGTATAGTTCTTCTGTGTAATCTTGCCACCTCTTCTTAATCTCTTCTGCCTCTGTTAGGTCCCTGCCATTTTGGTCCTTTATCATTCTCATCTTTGCATGAAACGTTCCCTTCATATCTCCAATTTTCTTGAAGAGATCTCTGGTCCTCCCTATTCTATTGTTTTCTTCTATTTCTTTGCACTGTTCATTTAAGAAGGCATTCTTATCTCTTCTAGCTATTCTCTGGAATTCTGCATTCAATTGTTTGTATCTTTCTCCCTTGCCTTTCGCTTCCCTTCTTTCCTCAGCTATTTGTAAAGCTTCCTCAGACAGCCATTTTGCTTTCTTGCATTTCTTTTTCTTGGGGATGGTTTTAGTTGCTGCCTCTTGTACAATGTTGCGAACCTCTGTCCATCGTTCTTCAGGCACTCTGTCTATCAGATCTAATTCCTTAAATCTATTTGTCACCTCTACTGTATATACATCAGGGATATGATTTAGGTCATACCTGAGTGGCCTAGTGCTTTTCCCTACTTTCTTCAACTTAAGCCTAAATTTTGCAACCAGAAGCTCATGATCTGAGCCACAGTCGGCTCCTGGCCTAGTTTTTACTGACTGTATAGAGCTTCTCCATCTTTGGCTGCAGAGCACATAGTCAATCTGACTTCTGTGTTGACTGTCTGGTGATGTCCATGTGTAGAGTCGTCTCTTGGGTTGTTGGAAAAGAGTGTTTGCTATGACCATCATATTCTCTTGACAAAATTCTACCAGCCTGTGCCCTGCTTCATTTTGTACTCCAAGGCCAAACTTGCCTGTTATTCCAGTTATCTTTTGGCTTCCTGCTTTAGCATTCCAATCCCCCATGATGATAAGGATATCATTTTTTGGAGTTAATTCTAGAAGGTGTTGTAGGCCTTCATAGAACTGGTCAACTTCAGCCTCTTCAGCACCAGTGGTTGGGGCATAGACTGGGACTATTGTGATGTTGAATGGTTTGCCTTGGATTCGAACTGAGATCATTCATTTTGGAGATTGTATCCCAGTTCTGCTTTTCCTACTCGTTTATTGACTATGAAGGCGACTCCATTTCTTCCAGAGAAAGTACCTATGGCTTATTTCTTAGGTTATTTTTTTCACTTGTTGGGCAGAGGTATAAGGAGACAAGCCAGAACTTTGGGTTCACTCATACTGCTAAACAATCTATAGAATTATAACATGCACTGCTTTATTCATGACAGTCCATAATTTATCTGTAGAAAACTGTCTGGTTCAAAGTTGAACGGGAACACACAATGAAAAAAAATTACATGCAGAAAAGCATCTGCATTTTTCTATAACAGTAATGATTCAAAAATGCATTTTCTTTTTCTGTGTAGTTAGGAAAGATTAACATATTTTGTGGTTTACAAAAAGCTTGATTTTTATGCATAAATTCAAGCTGCAGTATTGAAAACTACACACACTTAGCAAACACATTTTTTCACCTTTAATAGAGATAATGTAGTTGTTGTTGTTGTTAGTCGCGAAGTCATGTCCGACCCATCGTGACCCCATGGACAACATCCCTCCAGGCCTTCCTGTCTTCCACCATCCCCCAGAGTCCGCTTAAGCTCACACCAACTGCTTCAGTGACTCCATCTAGCCACCTCATCCTCTGCTGCCTCCTTCTTCTTTTGCCTTCTATTGCTCCCAGCATTAGGCTCTTCTCCAGGGAGTCCTTCCTTCTCATTAGGTGGCCAAAGTATTTGAGTTTCATCTTCACTATCTGGCCTTCTAAAGAGCAGTCAGGGTTGATCTCCTCTAGGACTGACTGGTTTGATCGCCTTGTGGTCCAGGGGACTCGCAGGAGTCTTCTCCAGCACCACAGTTCAAAGGCCTCATTCCTTTGGCGCTCAGCCTTCCTTATGGTCCAGCTTTCACAGCCATACATTGCAACTGGGAAAACCATGGCCTTGACTATACGCACTTTTGTTGGCAGGGTGATGTCTCTGCTTTTTAGTAAGCTGTCTAGATTTGCCATAGCTTTGCTCCCCAGGAGCAAGCATCTTTTAATTTCTTGGCTGCAGTCCTTGTCTGCAGTGATCTTGGAGCCCAGGAAAATAAAATCTGTCACTACCTCCATTTCTTCCCCATCTATTTGCCAGGAAGTGAGAGGACCAGATGCCATGATCTTAGTTTTCTTAATGTTGAGTTTCAAGCCAACTTTTGCGCTCTCCTCCTTCACTCTCATCAAGAGGCTCTTTAGTTTCTCTTCACTTTCTGCCATTATAGAGATAATAGTATGATGCTAGGGATGAAGGTAGAGGCTGTTAGTAAATCTGGCATTCATAGCAGCAGAAACTTTCAGATACCAAACACTAGTTGTGTGAACTGAGCAATCTCTGATTCTTTTATGCTTAAGTGTTCCTTGAGGGTCTGCCTTTTCAGAAAGTTTCTTCTCCATTTTTGAAAAAATCTTCTGTATTCAAGCATCCACTCTTTCAGTTCACAGAAAGACCCAAGAAGGCTCTGCAGTCGAGATGACACCTATAGAAGCAGACTTTTCTTGGCAGAAAAGGATGACACAATTTGAAATGGAGATACAGGAAGCCTTTCTACGTTTCATGGCATCTATTTTAAAGGGTTACAGAACATTTCTTAAACCAATCACACAGGCACCTTCAAATAAAGCTACTGCAGCAGATTCCTTGTTTGACCTTCAAGGTAAGTTTGAGGAGATGCTAATAGTGATTGAAATATATTATTAATGGTTGTTAACAAGTACCAAGTCGGTTTCATGCCTCACAAATATGCTCTTTATATGCAAGGGGACAGAAGGAGGGTGTATTTGGGTGGTAGAATACATAATATTTGAAGCACTACAGAGTGCACAAAACTGTACAGCATGCAGCTCGATTTTATGTCTCTTCAACTGAAAAATGGATTTGTTATTTTGTAACTAAAACTCAGATTTAAAGAATGTGCAGTTATTCATCCCTTTCAGTAAATAATGGGATGGTTCATATACAGTATATATGTCCCAACATGATTCTCCAAGAACATTAATTTTGGATTTGGAAACATTGACAAACTAAATTTTATCTCTACCCTCTGTGTGGTGTTGAGCAGTGCAGTGTTAAGATGAACGTAAATGGCTTAATGTGGCTGTCTTAGCCTCTTGCTTGCCTAAAATATCATGATGATATATGAGCGTATAGTGCATAAAATCCCACTAGTTGTCCGAGGGAGTTGCCCTATTTAAAATGACATGTAATATTGGATAGTGGGTTGGCATTCTGCATAAATGTAGGTTTCATAAACTATTAGAAAGGCAATGGCAAATGACAATGGCAAAATCACCTGTGCTGTGCTGTCGGGGTGAGAGTGAGGGCTCTCTGTTTGTAGGAAGTTAACACCATGGAACATAGTAACAACCTTTACACAAAACCTGGGATTCAGAAGAAAGTGTCATTTCCTTGGAAGCTTTCCTGTTCAGGTGCCATTGAAGTTAATGGGAGCTGTACAGACCCCATTCATTTTAATTGGTTTTCCAAAAGGGTAAAACAATACATCCCCCCATATTTAAGTTTCTTCTGAAGCACTGATAAATTTCTCCATTATATTATAAAGAGTTCTCCATTGACATGCCTGTTCACATTTACGCCGTAATCCTCTGGCTCTTGGTACTGTGGGGTATAACAGATCAAACCTTACAAGAATAGAGAAGTCCACCCATGAAAGGGGATAAGTCTTCTAACTCCCACAGAAAAATCTACATTACATATTGGATCTTTGATGTAAGAAGAGATAAAAGGTATCAGAATGTCTGAGCTTTAATGCACAAAAATGAAAGTTTCTAGAAGGTTTTTATCTTTTGCTTTTAGACCTTGTGTCTGCCACAGAGTTTGTTGTGTCAGCATGTTGCAATTACAGTTTGTACAAATAGTCTTCACTGTGGTGTTGAAATGGCATGCATATATGAAACGGACAACAGAATAAGAAGTCTAAAGCTATACCCTTAGAAACTACAAACTTGGGGTAGAGCAATCCTCAAGAAATGGAATACTCCAATGCCACTGCCTCCAACATAACCAAAGTTCTTTCATGTTGACAGGACAGAAGTAAGGAAAGAACAGTATTGTCCCATTCTGTTTTCCTGTTCTGGGGTGGAGTAGGCGTTTGATTTAATTTTTCCCCATGCTTGAGGTGTGGCTCAGGTATTGTTGCTGGAGGGTTTTGGATCCTGTGGATCCACTTAAAGCTGCCTTCATTCAATTCCCTTTTACTTCTTAGGATGTCAAAGCTCTGAAATGTCCTGTGGACTTTCCTGTGGGACTAAATGTTTCCCCCTCCAAGTGTGGACCTCTCTCTCCATCCTTGCAGGGTGAGATCTGATAAATCCAACAGCAACAGGAATGCTCTCCCAGGGTCCATAAGATTACAGCCTAACAGTAAATAGACATTTCAGAGGAGAACTCTTATAAGGGGGGAATGCTGAATGCTACAGTAGGAGGTTAAATAGAAAAGAATGAAGTAATAGTAAACCTTGTATCAGGAGCAAATATTGCTAGCAATTGTCTGGTTTTTTTAATAGGATTTTTAAAAAGTAGAGATCGTGCCTATACAAAATTCTATACGGTTTTAACAAGGACACAGATATTTAGCCGCTTCATTGAAGAATGCAGTTTTGTGAGTGACAAAGATACCGGCCTGGCATTTTTTGATGACTGTGTGGAAAAGGTAAAAGCTTTTTCTTGTCTGATAAATGTCATAGTGATATGCTATCCCCCTGACAGATGTGAGGCTTTTGAGTTTATACAGTAAGCACTTTGAGTATCTCCTTTGTGATGCAACATCCACAACTGAATGGAAACTTTATTAGGTTCAGTCAAAATTACACAGAAATATGCAAGCTTTTGAGATCTGCAGGGCTCTTCATTAGGCTAAAAGGTTCAAAAAGCATGGCTGGGGAAACAGAAAACCTTTTTTTAAAAGGTATTTACTGGGTGATTTGGGATCTAGCTCAAACTTAGAGCACTTAGTTTTGTGTGCAAATAACTGCCCTTGTTAGACAAGGAGGATGAAAAAGTTTAAACAGAATAATAGCAAAAGATGTTATACTTGTTTTAATTTTCCCCCCAATTTATTTCTTTTCAGCTTTTTCCTGAGAAAGGATCAGAAAAAGGAGATAAGGTAGTTATTTACTATTCATGGGGACTTACTAAGAGTTTTCTGGTAATTAAGTGCACATTGTTACAACATAGTAGTGAAATACATGGTTGTTCAAGCACCTGCCCTGGAAGCTTTGATCTGATGCATTTGAGAACTGCAAGAGGCATGCACATTTTGTATAGGTTTCCTCTGTTAATCTAGTAGTCTTACTGGCAGACTTGTCCCATGGCTAGAAGATGCAAACACAGTTAAAAGGTGCAGTGAATCCAGCTTTTCTTGGTACTGCTTTCCAATATTTATACTTGTAGACTAAGGCATCATTCTTGCATCTTGACCTGAAACTGGACTATTATGTGTTTGCAGGTTGATGTAGACTCTGCAGAGGATACTCGGTTGATTGAGCTTGATGAGTCACAGAAGAGTGAGCACACAGTGTTCATAATGCCACTAGAGCCGCCCCCTGATGATGGACAAGACAAGCTACCAAAGTACAGGTATTCCCTAATGCAGAAGAAGGGATTCCTCCAGTCCTAATATAGTCTAGTCAAACATGGATGCTTTTTGCCATTGTTTTCTAATTTATAACTTGCAAAGGGACCCTGCTTCACATGGGCTGGTTTAGCCTCTGGCTTGATACAAGGAAACATTCAAGCAAAGTCATACAGATGTCAGAGTTGGACACACAATGCTTGACCTGTCTGAGTGAATCCATGCCTGCTGCCACCCTGTGTTGTGGGGCATCCCTGTGGCTTCCTGGGGAAGGGGTTTGTCTGCTCCATTTAGGCTGCCTATTGCAGTCAGCAGCTGTATAACTGTCTCTTGAACGACTGTCCAGGCTGTTCTGCTCCCCCTCCTTCTAAGCAAGTTAGAAAAAAGTCTTTCTAATTAAAACCTTTATTACATTAGAGGTGATCAGTTGGCTAGATTTGAAGTACAAGTGAAGAATATTGTAGAAATCAGTAATGGAATAAACAAGGAAAGTTAGAATACCAGTCATTACAGGAAAACAATGATAAAAAAAAAGATTCCAAGAGAGAATATTGCTCCTCCCTTCCAATATGAAATGAGCAAACTTAGACCTACAAGGTAAATCCTCCTGTGTAGCAGCTGATCTCTTGGAGCATCTGACATTTCTCAACTGGTCAGCTCTCTCAGCTACCCTACCCCAGGATTAATGATGCTCACTAATGAAGCCTTCCCCTTTCACATTAAAATGCCCACTAAGCTTTCTCACAGTATTTGAAAGGTCAGATTTTTAGCAACTGTGTGGCTTCTTTCTGGGTCTGCTGGCCTTGGCACTTCAGCTGCAGATTCTAATCCTCTGAGTCAGAAAGTGTTTCCACAACCTATGTAGGCTCCTTGGTAGGAAGAGTGTGCCTAGCCCTTACAACTTCTCTCCTTCAGGCTTCAGATTGTATCAGCTACAAAGCAATATGATAGGCAGGTGACTCAGAAGTGCACTGCATACTGCATACTACAAAAATGTGGGGCACATTTAAATAAACTTAAATTGATTAATGAATGTTTAAAAACTTGAGGTGCACATTCCTAGGGTCCCTTTAATGTGCATGCTAAGTTTCATTGTCTCGGCACTTGCTGCTGTTCTTATTTATCCAATTTCAGTTGCAAACTACTTTGGCATTGGTGGGGGTGGGGGGGCATTTGGACATCCTTCGGGCATTCCTGACTTTGAAAACTATTCTGGCTTGAGTAAATGATAAATTTGGCATTGTATGCTAAAAGTTCTTCATATGAAAGAAAGTATAATGCTGGCCATGCAATTCTAACTGGCAGCTTTAAAAAAAATCAAATAATAATATATTAATAGTAATGTTGCATAAACTAGCATTCTGTACATCTACAGATTTGCAAAACATTTTCATTTGTATCTAATTATGTATCAGGTTCTGCAGATTGAGAGGAAACTAGAGGTTGCTTTTCTCAAATAGAGTTTCCTCCATCTACTCTCACTACCACTACTTGGCCAAATTTTTCTGAAACAGAGAGAGGTTTCAAAAGTAATTTGTAATATGGAGTGCAGACAGAGGAACTGTTCTTCAAAGGAAAAGTAGTTGTAGAAAATATATTTGGTAATCTCAGATGCCTTTGGATTTCCTAAAGTGGCACATTGCATTGGTCTGTGGGTTGGAGTGAGAGCTGCTTTTCTGAGAACAAAACAGTTCCTTCTATTCATGGTTCAAATTCTCATGGGTGAAAGGCAATGGAGGCAATTTTTGTTGGTTGCCCCTTCCCCCCTGCACCTCCCATGCTGTCTAGAGTGTTCCCTAGTAGTCCGAAGTACATTTGTAGGGCCTGGGAGGGATGAGCAGTTCCCCTTACCACACTTCCACTTAAATGAGTGGTGAGTTTGCTGAGTTCTGCTCTGCAAATCTATGGAATCAGACTTAACTACCCAATCTAATTTATTGTTGTAAGCCGCCCCGAGGCTTCGGCGAATGGGGCGGCATAAAAATGTCTTAATAAATAAAAATAAAAATAAATAAAAATGTTTCTGGCCTTCATTCTACCAACATTAAAATAAGGAATACAAATAGTTCCAAATCTTATAGCTGATTTGATTCTTCCTTCCCAAATCAGTTAATATCACATCCTTTTTTAAGCAGGAGTGCAGAACGTGAGACCAAATTTATGGAGATGCTCACATGCCTCTGATAAATGGGAGGGGAGAGGCCATAGGTCATTATAGGAATTATGGTTTCATGCAAAAACCCCAAGTTTCAATCTCTTTTTTCTTTGGTTATAAAATCTTGTGTGCCAGGGCTGGGGACAGATTTCTGATTTTCACTGAAAGTCACGGTAGACAATACTGGGCTATATGGATCACATGCTGTGACTTTGTACAAAGCAGCTTAATGTATCCCATGCATGTATACATGTGTAAGTGTATACAGCATGGCTGGCTGACAGCTGCTGGGAGTTGTAGGACTTGCTTCTTCCAGAACATGTGTAAGATTGTACCTTAAGAGTTCCAAACAAGCTGCTTTAGTGTAGCATACATTCTAATACAATGATTTCAGCAGGCTGAATTTGATGTTGTTCTGCTACATTCATTTCTGTTAGAGATATCCTTAATGATTTGGTGCACTGCTGGTTGTTTAGAGGCATGTTCAGGGCCATTGTGCCTTAACAAGCATAAGCCTGGCTCCCTTGCTTTTGACTGACTTTCTCTCTCTCTTTCTCTTTCAGCTATAAAACCTTCCCCAGACTAGAGTTAAAACTGTTTGACAGACCACAAGAGCTCAAGCTTTCATTCAAGAGGCACCCAGCTGGAGGCAACATATCAAATAGTCCAGCACTCATGGCAAAAAGAACAAAACAGGTTAAATTTGTTTTTCAAGTGTGTTATGACTATATAATATTCACACCCATAACCAACATATCTTTTAGAATATAAAACTGAGGGTTGTCATCTTATTGATCTCTAAGCTATTCTGGGAGTGACTTTTTAAACTGAAGAACAGGATACAGATATTTTAAACAAACAAACATAGACTGTTTAATATTCAGCCCTAGTTACTCAAGTGTTACTGAAGTCATACATGCTTCCTTTTATGTAAAGCATATGTAACTTTGATAACGGTTGAATAACAATGACCGAATTAAATTAAAGCTGAGCCAAACTATTGAAAAATGAGAACCATTCAAAACTGCATATCCTGTCTTACATATTGCATATTGTTAACAGAGCATGAAATGTGGTATCCCCACCAGGCACTGTTAATATTACTTTTCTGTTTTGCAGGAGATAAAAGCCACTCATAAACTAGCGAAGAGATACCATACAAATCCTCCACAATGGGCCAAATGCCTCTTCAGTCATTGTTACAGCTTATGGTTTATTTGTCTCCCAGCCTATGTTAGAGTTTCCCACCCCAAGGTCAGAGCCCTTCAGCAAGCATATGATGTTCTTATCAAAATGAAGAAAACTGGTGTGGAGCCACTAGACGAAGTAAGTTAAAGAAATTGCTATACCATGTGAAAAGATGCAAGTGTGTATTCAATCTGAGGGTATTATCTGCATTAGTTACTGTTTTCCACCAAACATTGCAAATTTTCTCAGCTTTGGCTGCAGTACACATGAGATTGACTTATTCTGTTAAACAAACAAGTCAGAAATGGTTTAATGGCATGAGATCTTGCTGTCTTACTCAAGCAGTGCAGCTGCTTGAAAAAGATATTGGTGAACCATTTTGCATTTTACTGATAGCAGCACAAGATGTTTTTAATCACAGCTGTGAGATTAATACCTGTCATTCACAGGTGTGGCTTGTGAATTAGATCTAAAAGCAGCAAACGGGTGTCTTCCCTGGTCACAGTAAATTCTTCAGTCACACTCTAGGAGTATTTTCATCAGACTCTAATTCTCCTCTCTCAGAGGATAAAGTCTGCGTAATTCCACTATTAGGCATGCATCCAGGAATCTCTTTCCTTCAATGGATCCTCTTGTAATTTGGGGTTCTGCCCATTATGAAGCTAAAAGTTCAATTATCCAATTTTTCATTTTAATGTTTCATTTATAAAATATAAACTAATGGCCATATGGGGAACTGAAATCCCCTAAGGAGAAAGAAATACCAGTAAAAATGGCATTAATGACTCCTTGATTGGAAAAAGAGTAATTGTTTCAGATGGGTCAACTTAAACCATCTGTAAACTTTAAAAGCTGAAACTATTTCTCTCTTCTTTCACTTGGACTGTAATGGGGAATTTAATTATCTTGGCTGTAATGCATCATCAAGAACTGGACGGGCTCCCTTTCATGCTGAGTTTCCCTTTTCTCTTGCCTCAACCTATTTTAAATAGACAAATTAGAGGATGCTTCTGGAGATTCAGACACTAAATTATTATATATGGGTGTGGCTCACAGTCTCAAGTATGACAAGTTGGGAGATAAATAATGTTGCTGCTATACTAATTCTGTTTCCAAAACCTGAAATCTTCCCAAACCTGAAAGGAGGCCCATGCACATCCCAGTAGTCATCATGTGTTCTTGAAATCAATTCAGAGAATCATATTTTAATTAGAATTTTTCTTAAGAAAAAAAGAAGACTGTGCTAAGTTTGCAAAGCAGATGCTAAAATGCTTTTCTCTCTACCTAGCCTAGTATTTTCAGTGGTATATGCTGAAGCTAATGTTCATGTTAATCATCATTTAACTGGATTATAATGTAATTGAGAATTTCATACAATATTAACATTCTTTAGTTACATTGGGAAAGAGTTGTCAAATGTGATGGTATATATATTTCTTGTATTTTTCTTTGGTACTGACTGGCTCAGACTAACTCTATGTGGGTATGCTTTCCTAACAGTTGCTGTAATTTTTTCTTTTTCAGTGTCTTATAACCACAGTTTTTAATCCTTAAGGTTTCTCAGCATTCACATGTTAATGCTGAGTTTTCCCACGTTTCATATATTTGACTCACTGCTGTTTTGTCCCTTACAAGATTAATCTAGTAGTTGCCTTACTTCATTTCATACCTGCCATTTCCCATAGGCCAGGAGTGAGCAACCTTGTTTGACAGTTTTGGAAATGATCAGGAGTTGTTTCCCCACTGCTAACCACGGCCTTTTCCCCGCTGTCCACCTGATGGCTGATCAACTAGATAGTGAGGAAATGTGAGGAGGCTCCTTTGGGCTGCATAGACAGAGGTACATATAGCCCATAAGCTTCAGGTTGCCCAACTCAATTACGCTGTGGCTCATCTGAGACAGGAGCTGCATATGTGTTAATGCATATGTTAATGCAGTGCCTCTTAACCTGCTTGCAGAAGTTTTAAGGCCATTTGCTACATGCAGGGCTGTGTGTGTTCACCTCTGCAGTACTACAGATCACGCTGCATGATACAGACATTGTTGTGGACACTAACTTTCGGAACTGGATCCTTACCTGCACTGTATTTTTATGAGGGGTTGCCTGTGAGGCTGACTTGAAAGCTTGTGCAGACTGCCAAGGCCTGGCTAGTATGGGATTGTCTGTCAGGAATGTATTATACCCATTCTGAAGAAGTTATATTGACTGCCAATAAACCACTGAGTCAAGTTCTGGGTGCTTGAGCTGATACAAAAAGCTCTACATTGCATAGGGCCTAGACCCCTTATGTCTCTGCCCTGATATTAAGATTGAGTGGGGATGACTTATTGATGATGATGCATTTGGCATTCAGTGCATGGCTACCTGAGGAAAAAACATTGTCAGTGGAGGTACTCTGATTATGGAACTCCCTCAGTGATGATGATTTTTACATTACATTTATTTCTATACTGTCTGTACCCAAAGCTCTCTGGGCAGTTGTCAACATTTTAAGTCACCCATCCAAATTTCACCCAGAAATTAGGTTAGGCATTCAGGGTATATGGAAGCTATAGTCCCCCCCACACACCCACACATATGTAACCATATACTACAGGGTGTCCAAACTGAGGCTTGGGACCTTCATGTGGCACTCTGAGTTTATTTTATGGCTCGCAGAGGGCTTGGAGCCCCGCATTCCCACCCCAGTCAGGATCCCAGCAATGGAATGGCCATGATTTATTTTATTTATTTATTAAAACATTTTTATGCCGCCCCATTCACCGAAGCCTCGGGGCGGCTTACAACAACAAGTTAAAAAAATAATTATAATATTAAATTAAAAAAAATATAAACATTAGATTAAAAATACAAAAATACCAATATAAAATAAGCATGATTTGCACTGAGCTCTCCCAAGACTGCTAGTCCAGCCCACTCTTTTCCTGAGACTCATGAGAAAAGTTTTACAACTGTTAAAGCAATACGACAATGGAACCAATGACCCAGGAAGATTGTGAGCAATTCTACACAGGGCAGTCAAGATGCAGCTGGCCAGCCATCTAGTAAAGATGCTTTGACTCGGAGTCCTGCATTGAGCAGAGGGGTTAGACCTGATGGCTTTCTTGGCCCTTTCCAACTCTTTTATTCTATGATTCTATGACAACCTCCAGTTGGGATGATATATGCAATAGGCCACCTATGGCATAGATAAATAACCCATGGGGAGCCACAGTGTGTCATGTGAACCAGGTCACTGAGCTCTTTTCTACCTTTTGTAGATAGCCTCATTTGATGCTGAACTTATTTCAGATCCAGTACTGTGACTTTCTCTGTCTTACTAGGTGTGCTATAGAGTTGTAATGCTGCTTTGTGGGCTTTGGGGACATCCTATTCTGGCTGTGAGAGTTCTTTTTGAAATGAAAAATGCTGGCATACAACCAAATGCAATCACATATGGTTACTACAACAAGGTAAGCAGAAGATCAAGTAAACACTTCTACACTGTGCAGATGTTTTATTTTGAATCTTTATGGGTGGAGTCCTTCAGCCAGGGTACAAGGCCAGTGATGGCAGGTGCCTCGTCGGCATCTCAGAACTCCCTGGTGTTGCCTAGGAGAAGGGGATGCAGATGGCAGAGAGCACAGGTCTGAAGCATTGATGGTGATGAAGTCAGCAAGTGAAATGTGACAGCAACTGTGTGTGTGGGGGGTAATTATGCTTGTTTTATTTTTGCTCATTAGTGAGCAGGTTTCCTTAAGATGTGGGGATGTAGCACATTGCCGCTAGAGGTGTGGGACAACTGGCTAGCTTCTCAAATGAGCAGTGCTGCGGCTGGAACCTGCTTGGAAAGCTGGATCTCTGCCTTTGGGGCTATGCTGCCTGATTCCAGACTTGTAGACACTTGCTGAGGTTATTCAGTAGTGACAGCAATGTCCTTTTATCATGGGTGTAGGCCCTGGGCACTTGCTGGATAGGGCATTTGGTCAACAAGTCCGTTACAATTAGGTTGTCCCACATGTGGAAATAGTGTGTCATCAAGAAAGCAGTTTACCAACAAAAATCACTTTTGACTCTCTGCCATGCCTGAAGCATGTTCTGGCTTGTATTACATGGCTTAATCACTGACATAGTGATTCAGTTTTATGCAGCAGAGTTTGAGGTCACGTTAGATAGGCATTTAGCTTAGTGTCATATCTTTGCTACCACTGGAGGGTGAGGGGACAGGATGTTATTTGGATTTTATCCCCCTGGTGTTGTGAGCTAGGCATCCCCTCCCAAGCAAGACAGTCTCTCCAGCACTTCTTGTAAGCAGCTTTATTCTACATAGAAAACTCTAAGCATTCACAGGCCTCTGAGCATACACAAGAGATGTGTTGACCTCGCGTGGCCCCTCTTTACCCAAAGCTTTGCTTATGAACCCTTTGGAACCTGTCTCTGGAAGGGCACTATGGAATTGGGTGCGCCTGCATTCTGCCCTCTGAACAGGGTTTCATTTTGCTTGTCCAGCTGCCACTGTTACATTGTATGATTACTTGAGTGCCTGAAGTCTTCAGTGGGCTGTTGGGCAGAGTAGTGGGGGCTTGTTTTATTTTTGTTTCTAAATTTATACTTCTGCAAACTTCTAGGTTCCCTCAAACATTTTGATGCTTCCCTTCTGATTTTCAGGGGCTTTGTTTTCACTGCAGTCCTGGCACCACTCGCCACTTTCGTTAAGAGTAGTTTCTTTTGCGCAGCACCTTACTGGAAGGCTAGGGATTTCCTTTATTGTATGGATGCCCAATCAAGAACTCTCCTAATGCTCTTCCTTGCTGCTGTTAATTTGTTGTTTGGTGGAGGTGTGGAGAGGTGTGATTTTTGGGAAGGTGGCAGCATGCAGAGTGGATTGACCATCCCCTTTCCAATTATGACCTGCCCAATAATCAGCCAATCCCATGCAGCAATTAGGTATGTGCAGGAGGCCCCCATTCTTATATACATTCCTAAACCTGATTGCCATGGGCTTGAGCTTCCTTAACCCTGCTATAAAACCTCTAAAGTTCTTTATAACCAGGGCACTATTTTATTTGTGTGTGGCTCAAGCAGCCTCTGTGCAAGATCAAACAACTTTGGGGAGGGAATTAATTCTAAAGTAATGCTATGTGCTTTGGATTGCTTGAGTATTTATCAGTGGGAGTAGAGGTAGGGTTAATTTGTCTTCACTTCAGTCTGTGGAATAGAATCCAGGATACTCTTCACAGAACTGTTCAGCAGCATTCATTAGAACATTTCAGAAAATGAACCCATGAACACAACGATGACACAATATGCATTGGCCTGGAGATGGCAGGGGACAGATCAGAACTGTGTGCATTTGTTTGTAAAACAGAGCACTTTGACTGTATAGAACAAATGTGCTTAATGCTTTCACTCTTCCAGGCAGTTTTGGAGAGCCCATGGCCCAGCAGTAATCGCAGTGGTGTATTTCTCTGGACAAAAGTGAGGAATGTAGTATACAGCATGGCACAATTTAGGCAATGTCTCAGAAAATCTGCACATAGCTCCCAGGTCACTTCTGTTCCAGGTAATGGCATAGTCATTCACTTCAGCTTCCATAAAAACAGATAATAAAGTGTCTTCTCATTGTGATGCAGTCTTGGTGTGGGGGTTAGTATGAGAGGGAAGGAATTTTTTCAAGATTAATACAATAGATTTGAAAAACTAATTCTAAGGATCAAGCTATTTCTCAATGAAAAGAGAATTCTACTTGCTGGTTTTAGAAACGATGATCTTGTAGTTTAAGAATTGCTGTCTTTTTTAACGTGCACATTCGTCACTAATACACTGTTGTTCGTGTCTTCAGCTCCTCGGATGGTCACAGGTGGAAGTGATGGGGACACGGTGAGCCATGGTAGTGTGGATAGTTCTAATGATGCTAACAGTGGGGAGCACACACTCTTCGTCAGAGACTTAGTCAGGCTTGATTCCATTGGTAATCACTCTAGCACAGGTACTAGACACATTGGGTTTCACTGACTGCATACCCTCTCTCTAATGTGTTGCTTACTTGGTTTTCCTGTATATTGTTCTCTTTGCTGAAAAGACTGTAAAGTATGATGACGTTGAGGAGGAAAAGATGTGGTTTGCACCTTGGCAATCCCATGAATACGAGATTACAGTGCAGGGAGTCACCAGAAGCAAATTGCTCCTGCAAATCACACTCTGGGTGCATGTTTCTGTGTATTCGGTCATAACTTCCTCACATTGGCATTATTCCATATCCTTCATTGTGGGTTCTAAGGGAGGAATAAGTAATAACAAAATTAGTGGGGAATGGCAGAGGAAGATGGCAAATGATTGTGTTATTGTTCCATAATAAAGAAATGTGGTTTTGTGTTGGCTTGGACTTTGCATTCACTCACCCACAACAATTTAGTCTTTCAATGTCAATGGGTGGACATAATGAAAATTCTTGTACAGACATGTACTTTGTCTGATAAGAATAGAGCATACTGTTTGAATTACAAGTTGGCAAACTACTTGCTAGCAGGAAATGCATTGTGCTATAACCCTACATTTTATAAATGCTTATTTAAACTTGGCTAATGTTTGCCAAGGGAAAACGACCAAGGAGCAGTGGCATACTGACTGTGGAATATAGTGTTTCAGATAAACTAGAAATAACGTGGATTAGGTGGAAGCTTTCTATATTTGAAAAAAAAAAGTTTGATGGCCAGAGATGAGTATGCAGTGAGGGGTTCTTTTAAGCTGTGTGTAGCATACTTTTCTGAATACTTTTCAAAATGTTTTATTTCTTCTCACTCCGCCTTTCAAATGATGTAGACTGTGCATTTTTGAATAAAATATAGTTCCTTATTTTTAAAATCGAAGTGCTGCAACACAAAATGTCCTCTGTACTCTGCAAATCTAAAGGATTTCCTCTTTTCTTCCTTTTTCCACTATACTTTCTGACATCTTTCTTTTTAAAGAATTTTAGTCCTTCTCCTGTGTTAGATGGCTTACTGTATTTGTCCAGTAGATGACTAAACATTACTTCTCTTTGATCCTTGTTGCTCTGCTTCTTACTCTGTGCTGTCTCTTGGTGCTGCATTTGTCCTTGGCTGTCATGGTGTGGGGTGCAGAAGCCTTGGAGGCACATGTGCGTTAATTCTGCCCTTGAATGTTAACCACTCCAGGTAATCTCCCCATTAATGAATGGGTTTTTTTGTCAATTAATAGAGGAGTGGGAAAAATTCTTATATTCTTTATAATACTATAAATAAGGGACATTTGCTATGGCATACTTATTACAAAAAACAACAGACTTTGCCCATTAATTGGCTGGGCATTGTGTTGCTTCCTTTAAGATAAGACAAAATACTGAACTATCCTGCCATTAAACATTCTAACGTGTAAGGAGGTCTGGTTCTTTCTTTGTGTGTCTGACTGTCATTCCCTTGCTTGCCTTTTTGCTTCTGGCCATCTTGTGTCCTAACGAATTTAAGAAAGGACACCACAGAGTTTTCTTCTGCTGTAGGACTATCTGGGAGCTTCTAGAATTAGCAGCCACTGAGACCCCTGCTTCTCCTTCTGCTTACCTCTGAGTGAGGGCAGGCAACGTGGTGCCTGTGGGCACCGATGGGCCCCCAGACACGTTTTGTGGCCTACTCCTCTCAATTTGTTTTATTTGAAATATAGCACATTTTTGAATTGGCAGCTGGCATTGCTGTGAAATCCATCTCTGTTGCTGCTGATACCTGTGGATTATTTTAGTGTGCTGCGGCTTAACTCCACCCCTGCCTTGTACTCAGACACATTACTTGCTCTTTGCCTATTCTCCTATGGCAGCCATTTTGTGGTGGTGTCCAGGACCATTTTTTAAAATTGCCAAATGTATCCAGAGCCCCAAAATGTTGCCTGCTCCAGCAGCACTAATGAGAAGCTGAAGGTAGCTATGCAGGCAGCTACAGACGGTGGCTTATAGCCAAGTTGTAGTAGGCAGGACATAGCTATTCAGTGTGGTACACACTTTTACCAGCACATGGGCAAATAACTAGTAGCAGCGACATAATTTATCTGAGAGGAGACAGGAGCAGGAGAATACATGTTCTCATGTGATATTTAAAATGGTATTCCTTCAAAGAGTGTTATCATTTCCCAAGTTGTATAACATCCTGCTAAAAATAAACTCTGCAAATCAAACCTGAAGCAATCCTTCTTACTGCATCTCTGCCGCTGTTCTTTTCCCATCCAGATAAGTTCAGTGTCTGTTTCCGTGTGCTGTGCGCTGGCCATTTAAAAATATATTAAGTTGCAACACAA